CTCCTGCTCCTCCTCCTCCTCCTCTCCTCCTCCTCCTCCTCCTCCTCCTCTTCCTCCTCCTCCTCCTTCTCGGGCAGAGCCCCCCTCGGCGGCGAGCCTGGGGGGGGAAGTGAGGTGCGGCGGCCTTCTCGGAAGGCTCGGAACAGCCGCCGGCCTCCTGGGAAGCTGTCCGAGCTTCCCCGAGAAATATGCCAAAAAGCGATCCGGACGGCAGGAGGCCGCCTTCTAAACAAGCCACGCCGCCTTCCGCAAGGCCTTCTCCTTCCCCCTTCCCCCCCCCCCGTCCGCTCGCGCCGAGCCTTCTCCTCCTCCTCCTCCGCTTCCTCCTCTCCTCGTCTCCTCTTCCTCCTCCTCCTCCTTCTCGGGCAGAGCCCCCCTCGGCGGCGAGCCTGGGGAAGTGAGGTGCGGCGGGCCTTCTCGGAAGGCTCGGAACAGCCCCCGGCCTCCTGGGAAGCTGTCCGAGTCTTCCCCGATGAAATATGCCAAAGAGCCCTCCGGACGGCAGGAGGCCTTCCGAGAAGCCCCGCCGCCTTCCGCGAAGGCCTTCTCCTTCCCCCTTTCCCCCCCCCCCCCCGTTGCTCGCAGCCGAGCCTCCTCCTCCTCCTCCTCCTCCTCCTCCTCCTCCCCTCCTCCTCCTCTCCTCCTCCTCCTCCTCCTCCTCCTCCTCCTCCTCCTCCTCCTCCTCCTCCTCCTCCTCCTCCTCCCCCCCCCGTCGCTCGCAGCCGAGCCCAGTGCAGAAGCCCGGCCCCACCCGGAGGGCCCCGGCGGCAGCGGGCTCGTCGCGTCCCCCGCGCTCGTCGACTGGATCCGCGGCCTGCTCGGGCAGACGGCCGACCCCCGCTTCACGCCGCAGTCGGTGTGCGACGGCATCTGATGGGCCTGTTTTCCACCACCACCGCCATAAGCTGGAGGGGGAGAGGAGGAGGAGGAGGAAAAGGAGGAGGAGGAGGAGGAGGAGGAGGAGGAGGAGGAGGAGGAGGAGGCGGAGGCGGAGGCGGGGGAGGAGGAGGAGGAGGACCCCCTTCCCCTACTTCGGGTGGTGGCGGTGGAAAACAAGCCCACCAGCATCCGCTACGAGCGGTCCTTCTGGTCCCGCGGCCTGGCGGGGGTGCTGTACTGCGACGCCGCGCAGGCGGACAAGCAGCTGCGGCTCGCCTGACACGGTTCGGACGGGGCCAGGACGAGGATCATTCCGTTCCTCAGCGTTCTGGAACGTTCTCGGAGCGTGCCAGAACGCTCTGAACAGACCGTGGCGCCCGAGACATTTTCCAGCGCCGCCGGATCTCAGAGGTTCTCGGTACATCCTCACCCGGTTGTATCCTCGCCCTGGCTTCGTCTCAGAGATTCTCGATGCGTCCTCGTCCGATGTTATACTCTCGCTCTGGCTTCGTCTTCGTAACAGGGCGCGCGGCCGCCCGTAATTAGCCAGGGGGGGCCGCGGCAGCAGGGCACCTGCAGCGGCAGCAGGAGCAGCCGCAGGGGGCCGCAGCTCATTACAGTCGGGCTGCAGCTCTCCGTGTCTCGAGGCCTCCCGGATGGGGTCCGAGCAGATGGGGTCGGCGGATCGTGCCGCATCGCCGATGCACGGGCGATGCGGCTCGACGAGGAGCCCGATGTGCTTCACGCCGACGTCGCCGATGCATCGCCCGCGTCGACGATGCCTCGCCGATGCATGGGCGATGCGGCGCGATCCCCCGGCCCCATCTGCTCCGACCCCATCCGGGAGGCCTCTATTGATGCCGCGTCGGGCCCACGCGGCCCCTTGACCGCGCCTTTTTTTATCGCGCCCCTCCGTGATCCCACTTGTTGCCGATGGGTTAGGTGCATCCTCGGGTGCAGTCGGACCGAGGTATAGATCGAGGTCGGGTCGGGGAGGATGGATGCCCTGATGTCCTTCGCGTTTCGTATGTCCTACCAGCGCCCTGTCCGCCAGCGCAAAGACTCTGCCTAGCCGCCGACGAAAAAAGTGTGTCTGTGTGTGCTTGTGTGTGTGCTTGTGTGTGTGTGTGTGTCTGTGTCTGTGTCTGTGTCTGTGTCTGTGTCTGTGTGTGTGTTTGTGTGTGTCTCTGTGTGTGCGTGTGTGTGTGTGTGTCTGTGTGTGTCTGTGTGTGTGCGTGTGTATGTGTGTGTGTGTGTGCGCGTGTGTGTGCGCGTGTGTGTGCGTGTGTGTGGGCATGCTCTTGCGTGCCTCCTTGGGGAGGGTGCCCCTGGATGTTCTGGTCGCCCCGGCCGACGGAGGGTCCCCTGCTCCTCTTGCGCGCCGTTCTCCGTGGCCTGCAGGTCCGACCGCAGCCCGAGGAGGTCGGCGCGGCGCCGCGCCGCTGCGGCGCCAACCCCCCCTGGGTCGGCACAGCTCCCAGGTGGGGGGGGGGGGCGTGCGCCGCTCGGGCGCGCCCGTGGGGGGGGAGGGCAGTGCGAGCCGCGCGGCCCTCCTCCTCCTCCTCTCCCTCCTCCTCCTCCTCCTCCTCCTCCTCCTCCTCCTCCTCATCCTCCTCCTCCCTCTCCTCTCCTCCTCCTCCTGACCCTCCTCCTCCTCCTATGCCTCCCTCCTCCTCCTCACTCCTCCCCTCCTTCCTCCTCCTCCACCTCCCTCCCTCCTCCTCCTCTCCACCTCCTCCTCCTCCTCCTCCTCACTCCTCCTCCTCCTTCCTCCTCCTCCTCCTCCTCCTCCTCCTCCTCCTCCTCCTCCTCCTCCTCCTCCTCCTCCTCCTCCTCCTCCTCCTCCTCCGCCTCCTCCTCCTCCTCCTCCCCTCCTCCTCCTCCTCCTCCTCCTCCTCCTCCTCCTCCTCCTCCTCCTCCTCCTCCACCTCCTCCTCCTCCTCCTCCTCCTCCTCCTCCTCCCCCCTCCTCCTCCTCCTCCTCCTCCTCCTCCTCCTCCTCCTCCTCCTCCTCCTCCTCCTCCTCCTCCTCCTCCTCCTGGGCCGCGCGGCCCGCCCCGAGATCCCGGCGCGCCCGAGGCTCTTCGAGCCGGGCGTTTTTTTTTGTTTTGCTGGTCGGGCTCGAAGGACGGATCTCGGGGGCGGAAAAAAGAGGGGGGTGATGACTAGGGGGGGGTGGATCTCATGGCGGGGAGCATGATGTTTCCTCAGATTTCATGGCGCCTCTTCTTACTTCATTACGTCCCCGGCCCCCCCGCTGGGCCGCGCACATGCCGCCCGTCATGACTTGCACCCCCCCCTCTTGGACCCCCCCCCCTTGGCCGCTCCCGAGGATCGGAGGAGGGCAGACCTCCTACCCTGGCGCGCCGACGCAGGAGTGGGCCGTCTGCGGTGCGCGAGGGGGCGTCGCGGCCGTCATTTCTGCGGGTCCAGGTCCGTCGGAGCCCGTCCCAGGCCGCTTCCACTGAGGGGAGGTTTGCTAAAGGGAGGTTTGTCCACCGCCGAAATGACGATCCATCCGGCTCGACGAATTCGACGATCGACTTTTGGGGCTGTTTTCGTGCTGCCGTTTCTGGTGCTCATCTTTCTCCCTTCGTCGACCCTCTCAGACCAGTCCGGCTCGAAAGGTGGCGCAGGAAGTTGGGGTCTAGAGCTCCTGGCGTGGTTTTTTACGATTGTGGTGTTTGTCTCGCTACGTCGGGTCTCGCGGCGCGTGGACTGCCCTGTTCGGCGCGGGCTGGGCATTGGCTTACAGTTTCAGGTGTGCCCCAGCACCGACCTCGCCTCCAGACCTGATGGGTCAATTTTCCACCGCCACTACCATAAGGGCGGGGGAGAAGGAGGATGGGGAGTTCCTCCTCCTCCTCCTCCTCCTCCTCCTCCTCCTCCTCCTCCTCCTCCTCCTCCTCCTCCTCCTCCTCCTCCCTCTCCTACCTATTGTAGTGGTGGTGGACAATCAGCCCATCAAGACCGCGCCCAGCTCAGGGGCCCCTCGATGCAGGGCCCCCGCCCTTCGTCTCCTCCTGAGCCGGGCGGGGACGGACAGAGCCAGGGCTGGACCTAATCGCTGTTTTGCTGGACTTCGGCTGTGCTGTGCTTTTCCTTCTGGCAGGGAGGTACAGGAGAGCAGGTCGAGCAACACGAAGACACAACAAACAACAACGCCTAGGCCCAGCCCTGGCCAGAGCTGCGGCGTCGCCTGCACCTGGCCGCGACGCGCGGCTGCCATAAGCGTCGCACAGCGCGTCGCGGATTGCCCATCAGGGTCGCACTGCGAACAGAGTCCAGATCGCAGGCCTCGAACAATGGCGAGGGGGGCTACGTCATTCGTGGCAGTCTCGGCCGCCGCCTCATCGACTCATAGTTCATAGCTACGCTTCGACGGGCGCCCTGCGGCGACTCACCGCCGCCCCCCTGCCTCTTGGAAGCGCCCGTGGGAACGAGCGCTGTGACCAGAAAGTGGGAGAAGCTCTCGGGCGGTGTGCTCAGAGCCGCAGCGAATGCCCTTCGGGGAACATGTGGGGGGAGGATGAGTGCAACCATCGGGAGGAGGAGGAGGAGGAGGAGGAGGAGGAGGAGGAGGAGGAGGAGGAGCAGGAAGGGGAGGGAGGAGGAGGAGGAGGAGGGGGAGGAGGAGGGGGAGGAGGGAGAAAGGGAGGAGGAGGAGGAGGAGGGGGGGGAGGAGGAGGAGGAGGAGGAGGAGGAGGAGGAGGAGGAGGAGGAGGAGGAGGAGGAGGAGGAGGAGGAGGAGGAGGAGGAGGAGGAGGAGGAGGAGGAGGAGGAGGAGGAGGAGGAGGAGGAGGAGGAGGGGAGGGGGAGGGGAGGGGGAGGGGAGAACGAGGGGGAGGGGGCGGGGGAAGGGGAGGGGGAGGGGGAAGGGGAGGGGAGGGGAGGGGGAGGGGAGGGGAGGGGAGGAGAGAGGAGAGGAGGAGAGGAGGAGAGGTGGAGAGGAGGAGAGGAGGAGAGGAGGGAGGAGAGGAGGAGAGGAGGAGAGGAGGAGAGGAGGAGAGGAGGAGAGGAGAGGAGAGGAGAAGAGAGGAGAGAGGAGAGGAGAGGAGAGGCAAGCTAGGTGCGCTCGCGTCTTCTCTGACATCCTGTCCCACCCTCTCCTCCTCCTCGCAGGAGGAGGAGGAGGAGGAGGACGAGCCTCGCACCGCGCGGGCCGCGCGGCCCGCGGGCCGCGGCCCGCGGCGATGGCCGGCGGCGGCGCGGAGTCGGCGGCGGGCCCGGGTGGCGGCGCGCTGCCCGCGACGGAGTGGCCGGCGCACTTCCGGGCCATCCCGAGGACCGGCGCGCTCTTCTCCGCTGTGGCTCCCCCGGGTGGCAGCCCCGGGCATGGTCGCGCCGTTGACAGGAGCCAGGGCGGGAGGTTTTTTCGCCCAGTTTTTCGGCCTCGGGGGTGCCCTCGCTCGGCCTCGGGGAGGGGGAGGAGGAGGAGGTCTGTCCACCGCCGACGCTCCGTCGGCTCTCCGGGAGGGCGAGGAGGGGGAGGAGGGGGAGGAGGGGAAGGAGGAGGAAGAGGAGGAGGAGGAGGAGGAGGAGGAGGAGGAGGAGGAGGAGGGAGGAGGAGGGAGGAGGAGGAGGGAGGAGGAGGAGGGGGAGGAGGGAGGGGGGAGAAAGGGTCGGGACTTCCAGGGGCCGCGCAGTGAAGAAGTCAGGGCGTCGCATGTCTGGGTCGGCGGCGAGCGATGGGGGGGGGGAAGTGAGGAGGAGACGGCCGTTTTCAGACGGCGGCGGGACTGCTCAGAAGGCCCTCGCGCCGCCGGATCGGTTGTTGGTGTCGTCGGGGGAAGCTTAGAGAATTTCTCAGGAGGATTGGGGACTTCCGAGCCTTCTGTCAAGCAGTGGCGAAGCGTCCTGGCGTGCCTATAGCCCTACCAAACAAGAACCTGTTGTGGTCTCCACGACATATTCTTAGAACATTTCTGGTTGGGACTGTCTTGTTGTATCACATCGGGTTATGTTATGAGAACATTGTTTTTGTTATTAGAACATTTTTGGGTTCTAAGAACATGTCGTGGTAGGGCTATAGGAATTCCGGGACGGTCGGCCCCTGTTCAATTCTGAGGATGCCCGCCCTTCCCATTTCCCCCCCAGGCTCGCCGCCGAAAAAAGAGCTAGCTCGTCTACCAAAAGCTGTACCTGTCGATAAGAAGTTGCGAAGAACAAGACAAGAACAATCCAGAACATGCACAACAAAAAACCCAACAGCCCACGACAACGACGACGACGACCACGACCACGACCACGACCACGACCACGACCACGACCACGACCACGACCACGACCACGACCACGACCACGACGATGACGACGACCATGACCATGACCACGACGATGACGACGACTATGACCACGACCAAGACCACGACGACCTCGACCACGACCACGACCACGACCAGGAGCACGACGACCCCATGACGACCACGGTGATGGCCCCGGTGCACTTCCCGGGAGGCCGCTCCCGGGCGCCTTGACGCCCAGGGCGCCCTTGCCCAGACGCCCATGGCCTGACCTTTGCCAGAGAGAGAGGGAGGGAGAGGGAGAGACAGAGAGAGAGAGAGAGAATGAGAGAGAGAGAGAGCAGGGGACGACAATGAGAGAGAGAGAGAGAGCGAGACAGAGAAAGAGAGAGAGAGAGAGAGAGAGACAGAAGAGGAGAGAAGAGAGAGAGAGTAAGAGAGAAGTGAGCAAGAGAAGAGAGAGAGGCCGCAGGGGGAAAGAGAGAGGTTGCCCTCGCCCTGCAGTCAACAGGCTGGAGCAAGACCTCACCGAGGCGCCTTCGATCCTCGTGCGGTGCTGCCGGGGCTGGCCGATGGCTGCAGGCTGGGAGCAGTCGGTCTTCGCAGGCTTCCTGGATGCTGGCTTGCATGCGGGAGGAGCAGGGGGACGGCAGGTTTGGGAGAGGAGGAGGAAGAAGGAGCAGGAGGAGGAGGGAAGAACAAGGGAAGAGGAAGGTGAGTAATGATGATGTTGATGATGATGGTGATAATGATGATGATGATGCTGATGCTGATGCTGATGCTGATGCTGATGCTTATGCTGCTGATGATGATGGTGGTGATGGTGGTGATGGTGATGGTCAAGGTGAAAGTGATGGTGATTGTGCTGGTGATGATGATGATGATGATGATGATGATGATGATGATGATGATGATGATGCTGATGATGATGATGATGATGATGATGATGATGATGATGATGATGACGATGACGATGACGATGACGATGACGATGACGATGACGATGACGATGACGATGACGATGATGATGATGATGATGATGATGATGATGATGATGCTTGTAGTTGTGATGTTGCTGCTGCTGATGATGAGCCTCAAGGGCTATGGGTAGAGGGGGCAGGCCCCCTTGAATTGTCACTGCGCCCAGGTAGGACACAGGCACAATGGACTATAGTCCGGCCCCGGCGGAGGCTGTCCCACGAACGTGGCCGAAATTCCGCCGCAGCTAGTTTGCCGGACTCCCCTCTCAGGGCTAGCGGTGCGAAGATAAAGCGTTGAGAAGACAACCGCGCTTCCCCCCTCCGGGTCGGTGTCCCGCGCGCGCGCGCGCTCTCGAGAGGTACTTGTCCATAGCCATTTCGCTCGTATGTCATCTGCGG